AAACTCATGAAAGTGGGTGGAAGCCATCTTGCTCTCCTCTTTGCTAAGATGCACTCTGTATGTGACTGTGACTTTCAAGGAAATTCATTTTCCATGTGCCTTTTTTTTGGAGGGGGGAGTAATTTCTAACTTCTCTTACTCATAAATGAAGGAAAGTATTATACCTTGTGAAATACACCAAATTGACTTCATACATAATTTTATTTTTCCTGTCAGCCATTGTTTTACATGCTTCGCATGGATTTGCTAGTCAGTAGTGTGGTATTCCTAGAAGCCAGCTGAAGACTGGCCCACAGAGAGACTCTGAGAGGGATGCTGGGAGACAGAAGCCTGTGGGGTGACTGGTAGCCTTTCTGGTAATGAGGCTGCCAGGCCTGCTTCTTAATCTGGGGCTGGTGGAAGGGCAATGCTCACCCAACATGGGGACCAGTCAGGGGAATCCCTTTGTTCTGTCTTGCATATGAGGAACCCTTGAGCAACCTGATGAAGCTCTCCAGTTTAATAAAAATTGCAAGAGTCTTATTAAGACTCTTTATTATGTGTTAATATTTTATCCGACTATTTCCGTTGCAATCTCCAGTTTTTAAAGCGTGTAGGTAATCTTTTCCACGTTTCTCAAATCCTAATTCTTATAGATTCATTAGCATTGAACCAATGCTTCCTCAGAGCTTGGGCATTGTCCCTAAGTTATTGCAAAAGTGGCTAGCACTCTGTCACTTGAGCCACAGATCCACTTTTGGCTTTTTTGGTGGCTAATTGGTGATAAGAGTCTCATGGACTTTCATGCCCAGGCTGGTTTGGAACTGTGATCATCAGATCTCAGCCTCCTGTGTAGCTAGGATTATAGGTATGAGCTACTGGTACCCAACAATTTTTTCACTTTTGAAGAATAATTTCCCTGGATATAAAAATTAGGATTGAAGGGCTGGGAAGGTGGCTCAGTGGTAGAGCGCTTGCCTTGCATGCATGAGGCCCTGGGTTCGAGTCCTCAGCACCACATAAGCAAAAAGAAAAAGCCGGAAGTGGTGCTGTGGCCCAAGTGGTAGAGCGCTAGCCTTGAGCTGAAGAGCTGAGGGACAGCGTCCAGGCCCAGAGTTAAGGCCCCACAACCGGACCAAAAAAAAAAAAAAAAAATTAGGATTGAAGCTGGGCGCCGGTGGTTCATGCCTATAATCCTAGCTGCTCAGGAGGCTGAGATCTGTTGATCATGGTTCCAAACCAGCCTGGTCACGAAAGTGCGTGAGACTCTTATCTCAAATAAACCACTCAGAAAACCGAAAGTGGGCGCTGTGGCTCAAGTGGTAGAGCACTAGCCTTGAGCTGAAGAGCTAAGGGACAGTGCCCAGGCTCAGAGTTCAAGACCCATAACCAACCAAAAAAAAAAAAAAATAGGATTGGCAGATTTTTGTCAACACTTCAAATGTTTCATTCTATTCTCTCCCAACTTACCTCGTTTCTTAAGAAAAGTCTGATGTAATTTTATCCTTGATCCAGATGGCTAAGGTGTTTTTTTTCCTAACTTCTGGCTTCTCTAAGATTTTCTCCCTGACTTTGCCTTTCTGAAATATGAATATAACATGTTTTGGTGTTATATTTGGTATTTATCATAATTGATGTTTTCTGAATTTCTGAGATTTGTGGTGTGGTAGTTGTCATGAATTATAAAAAATCCTGTTATTACTGTTTCAAATATTTCTTCTGTTCCATTTCCTTCTCCACTTAGTATTTTTCTTTATTTCTTTTATTTCTTTTTTTCTTTTGGGGGGGGGGTCTGGTCATGGGGCTTGTACTCTGGGCCTGGGCACTGTCCCTCAGCTCTTCAGCTCAAGGTTAGCACTCTATCACTTGAGCCACAGCGCCACTTCCGACTTTTTTTCTTTTTGCTTATGTGGTGCTGGGGAATTGAACCCAGGGCCTCATGCATGCAAGGCAAGCGCTCTACCACTGAGCCATCTTCCCAGCCCCTCAACTTAGTATTTCATTATGCATATGCTACATCTTTGTAACTATATCACATGTTCAAGTATTGTGTTTGTTATTGCCAATCTTTTTCTCTTTGTATAATAGTGTTGAAAATTTCTGGACATACCTTCATTTGCTGATTCATCACTGGCTATGTCCAGCTCATTAATGAACTTGTTAATAACATTCCTTCTGTGTCTTGATTTCCAGTATTTCTTTTTAACTACAATTAGGTGTCAATCATATAGTAAAGCTGTGTCCTTAGAATATGACCTTCATTTGTGCTTCTCAGTAAACATCATCCCAAACCACAGTGGCACAAAGAAGGTAAGAGAGAGCTAGAGTTTAGTATTTCCTTTCCTCAAAACCAACTAGATGGCCAGGTGCTGGTAGATCACGCCTGTAATCCTAGCTTCTCAGGAGGCTGAGATCTGAGGATCACGGTTCAAAGCCAGCCAGGGCAGGAAAGTCCGTGAGACTCTTATCTCCAATAAATGACCAGAAAACCAGAAGTGGTGCTGTGGCTCAAGTGGTAGAGCTCTTACCTTGAGCTGAAGAGCTGAGGGACAGAACCCAGGTCCAGAGTTCAAGCCCCATGACCGACAAAATAAACCAGTAGACTTGGATAAACCTCAAACTGATTGTGTTTTGATTAAAAAAAAACAAAAAACAAAAAACTTCTTTTAGCCAAAAACAATGGTCAAGCCTGTAATCCTAGTTATTTGGAAGACAGAGATGAAGAGATTGAGGCTTGAAGTCAGTTTAAGTATGAAAGTTCATGAAAATGCACCTCAGCCATGTTTATGTGTGGTATCATGCTACTGACATCCCCAACAACACAAGTAGGAGGTTCACAGCTCAGGCTGTGATAAGTAATGCAAAAAGAGGCTGAAGATATGCCCTAAGTGGTAGTTATAGAAATCCTACCTAGCAAGTAAATATCTCTAAGTTCAGTCTCCAATAATGCCAAAAAATAAGTTTGTTTTATGAGCAGTTGTATGTAAGGTATAACTTCAACATATGAGTATTTCTTCCCCCTTTTGACAGAGCAAGAGGGAATTTTGTTGTTGTTGTTTGTGGGACTTGAACAATGGGCCTGAGCGCTGTCCCTCAGCATTTCAACTCGAAGCTAATGTTCTACCACTTGAGCCACAGTACCATTTCTGGTTTTCTGAGTTGTTTATTGGAGATAAGAGTCTCATGACTGGAAGTGGCGCTGTAGCTCAAGTGGTAGAGCGCTCGCCTTGAGCTGAAGAGCTGAGGGACAGCGCCCAGGCCCAGAGTTCAAGCCCCACGACCGACAAAAAAAAAAAAAAGTCTCATGACTTTCCTGCCTGGGCTGGCTTTGAACCGGGATCCTCATATCTCAGCCTCCGGAGTAGCTAGGATCATAGGCATGAGCCACCGGCACCCAGCATGAGGGAATTTTTATATGATTGATACTCTGAGAACCTGAGGAGACACCAGAGGTAATACTTAACATTTGTGGAGTTTTTTGTTTTTGTTTTTTGTCGGTCGTGGGGCTTGAACTCTGGGCCTGGGTGCTGTCCGTGTTCTCTTCAGCTCAAGGTGAGCACTCTACCGCTTGAGCCACAGCACCACTTCTGGTTTTCTAGTGGTTTATTGGAGATAAGAGTCTCACGGAGTTTCCTGCCTGGGCTAGCTTTGATCGTGATACTCAGATCTCAGCCTCCTGAGTAGCTAGGATTACAGGTGTGAGCTACCGGTGCCCAGCTTTTGTAGAGTTTTAACCACACTATTTCAGCATTTGGTCAATCACAATTTAGGATTCTCTACCTTAATACTGTTTTCAGTGTCTGGAACCTATTCTCAAACTTCCCTTCAGGTAAGCTGGGATTTCTCTTAGGTTCATGGATATTGGGGTTGGGGAGGTGTGTTGTGGGTCAATACCCTAAAGAATTTATGGACAGTAGGATTATGGGAGCAGTAAGGAGGAAGCTGGACATCAACCAAGGAGAAGAACTCTTAAGACTTGATAGATTAAGCTGTAGCTCTTGATCTGGCATCAGAGACTCTTCTATTTTTTTTGTTTGTTTACCGATCCTGGGGCTTGAACTCTGGGCCTGGGTGCTGTCCCTGAGCTTCTTTTTCTCAAGGACAGTGCTCTACCACTTGAGCCAGAGTATGATTTCGACTTTTTCTGAGTAGCTTATCGGAGAGATAAGAATCTCATGGACTTTCCTGCCTAGGCTGGCTTTGAACAGCAATCCTCAGATCTCAGCCTCTTGAGTAGCTAGGATTATAAACATGATCCACCGGTGCCTGGCTCTTCTACTTTTGATTCATATACTAGCCTCGTGTCTTAAAGGTACTATCCAGAGGCCAGAATTCTGCACTCATGGCAGGGGCCCAGCACCTCAACCCCAACAATTCACTTCAGGCACTTCCTCAGGATCACGGGGTATTGGTTCTTTCTCCTTAAAATCTCAGGGATGCTGCTTCGCTTTTTTTTTTTTTTTTTTTGGGTCCGGTCGTGGGGCCTGAACTCTGGGCTTGGGAGCTGTCCCTCAGCTCTTCAGCTCAAGGCTAGCGCTGTACCACTTGAGCCACAGCACCACTTCCGGCTTCCGGCTTTTTTCTTTTTGCTTATGTGGTGCTGAGGAATCGAACCCAGGGCCTCAGGCATGCAAGGCAAGCGCTCTACCACTGAGCCACCTTCCCAGCCCATGCTTCTCTGCTTTTTGAAGGCACTTGTTCCCTTTCCCTTGAAATCCAGATACACAGCCTGCCCTCGTTCTGGCACTCCCTAGGATTAGGCCAACCTTTACAGGCAGATGGACCCTGCTCTTTCCAGATGCGCTAGGTCCTCAACATTCCCTTGATATGCTTCCCATATCCCTCTTTTATACCAGGGACCCATGGTTGAGTCTTTCTGTGAGCCACCACTACCTCTTTGGGGAAGGGAGATTACTATGGCTGACCCCAAGGGAAGGATGAACACGGAGGGGTAGGGAGAGCCAAAGAGTAGATCCTGCAGCCAGAGTAAGAAGGTGATAAGTTTTATTTGGCTTGATGTTTTCCAGGTTTGGTTTGGGAAGTGACATTTGATGGATACATAAGGTAAGGGAATGGATCAATTTAGACTGATGGGGGCTGTAGGGAGAGAGACTGAACTTTGGACAAAAGTTCTGAGCAGTGAAAATGTCAAGGTGTCCAGTGGTCACCATGAGGCCTGCTGTGGGATGGTGAAGAGAAATGGCAGCAGGAGCCAGGTCTGTGCAGACATGAGGGTGCTATAGGGCTGAGCTGAGCCAGCAGACTTCATAGGTACTGAAGGGGAAAAGTCCATGTGAGGAGGTGTGGAAATGGGGTTCAGGAGAGGAGTTTGCCTCTTGACTTCACTGATCCACTCAAGGAAGTAGGCAACCCTAGTGAAAACACTGGGGTAGACAGGATGCTGGCAGTCCAGGCCCCAGCTGGCCAGTCCTACCAGAACCCAGATATTGGGGTGGAAGCAGACAAGGGGTCCCCCAGAATCGCCCTGAGGAGAGAGAAAAGAGTTAGTGTGGCATCTGAGTGGAGACAGGTACATCACATGGCAAGGCTGGTGTCTGTACTGCTCTGCTTAAGACAGGACTCTAGAAACCCCCACTTGTGGGAACCCCAGAGCCCCAGGGGAGCTATGACTGGATGCTGGAAGTATGAGTGAAGGATGTATATGGAGAAAGCATGATGGCAGCAGAAATTTGCTGGTTTGTGTGTTGGCCTTATCTGTGTTGGAAGTAAAAACAAGGGATAGCTAATGAACAGTTTAACAAAATGAATGCCAGTAAGCTGAAACATGTCTTGTCAGGTGAGGAGGTCAAGAGGAGGTAGAGTAAATGAATGGAGAGAGAAGAGTGGGTGTATATAGTCATTATATTCAATTTACATGTGCTAATATGGAACCATATAAATTGAGGGTTTGAGTGGGATTAGGAATGTTAGAAGAGCACAATGGAAGGAATGACATTGATCAAGATGTATTATACTTTATAAATATGTTAAAAACAATAGCAAGTAAGAAAAAAACATCTGTGTCCCTGTCTTGGGGTTCATTTCTTAACATCATCTTATATGGTATATGTACATAGCTTTTGACCTTTTCTGCTTGTCCTAAACTTATACTAGTTATTGCAAATAAGGGAAACCATGGGACCTATGTTTCTTTGGGTCTGGCTTACTTCACTTAATATAATTTTTTCCAAGTCTTTCCATTTCCTAATAAATGGGGGGATGTCATTCTTTCTGATTGAGGTATAGAATTCATATATATATATATATATATATATATATATATATGCACACATCACATTTTCTTGATCCATTCATCTCATCTACTGAGGGGCACCTGGGTTGGTTCCATATCTTAGCTATGGTAAATAATGCTGCAATTCTTTGGTATGTTCCTCCCCCATGGTATAACCCCTGTTTTCGCTGTATTTGATCCTGGTGCCCTGCATCTTATATATACATTTTTCTAATTTGGGGAGGAGAAGGGAAATAACAAAATGCTGAAATAAGGATACAGGTTGACCCATTTAACAATGAGATGTACAAGACACTATGTTGAAAACAAACTTTACAACTTTGTGGGGGGGAAGGAGGAGCTGGAGAGGTGGGGAGGGATGTTATGGTAGGGGAAAAACAAAGAAGGAGGCAACAATGCTCGATAAAAAATATACTCATTACTTTACTCATGTAACTGTAGCCCTTTTGCAATAAAAATGTATAAAAAAGATGTATTATACTTATGAACTGGTTGAATTGAAACCCATTCATACAACTACATACAGGTAAAAAGTAAAATAGACATTCTAAGAATCAGAGCAATAGTGTAAATTAGAAGGGTCTACCATTTTGATTCTATAAAGAGAAGAGTCAGGTAACACAGAAGACACTAACTACATACTCTGAAGAAAGAGAAGAGCACTGGGAATCACAAAACTTGGTGGTGGGACAGAGAAAAGAATAGAGAAACAGGCAAAAGGAAAAAGTAGCCATCATTTCTGTTCTGATTTCCCAGAGTGGGGAGGGAAAGCTGAAGACACCATTATAAGGTAAAAGGATGGTCCTGCTCACAAACTGAGAATTCCAGCTACAAGATAATCCTGGAACTCCCATAAGCCTTAAACTCAGTGCAGGATTTGGTGAGAATTACTACTCCAGTGTAAAGGGATCGATTTGGTGAAGAAATGTTCTGTCATGTCACCTACCTTGGAGGGTGAGAGCAAGGTGCAACCTGAGAGAAAAATGTATACATTTTTGAAACTGAGATACTCAGGCTGGGAAGTTGGCTCAGTGGTAAAGCGCTTGCCTTGCATGCCTGAGGCCCTGGGTTCGATTCCTCAGCACCACATAAGCAAAAAGACAAAAAGCCGGAAGTGGTGCTGTGGCTCAAGTGGTAGAGCGCTAGCCTGGAGCTGAAGAGCTGAGGGACAGCGCCCTGGCCCTGAGTTCGGGCCCGGCGACCGAACCCAAAAAAAAAGAAACTGAGATACTCCGGGAGCCTGATCACAAGGAGCACTAGTAGCTCAGGGAGTCTTGAGATACTTCCACAGTGGTGAGTCTAGTAGATTGAGGTCAGATATAGCCCCACAGATGAGTTCAAGCAGCTAGGAGCTCTGGCAGGGAAGGGCCCTGTGATCACAGGCCTTCCCTTGTAGGGTGAGGAGGGAGTTCTGTTCTTGGGGATCAGATAGTAACAAAGAACTTAGTCTATATAGCTAGCTTAGTGTTCGGTATCCAGGGCCGTCTCCCAGCCAGAAGTATTGACTGTGAGGCCTCAGCCCAAATCCTCTCAACTACAGCCTCTCTACCCCAGCCCACCCCCAACACGAAGGAACTGTTGAGGCTCAGTCTGAAAGCACTGAGTCTTGTACCCAGACACTGCATCCCTGCAAATATCAACTGCTGGGCAGGGCTGACCGTCCTAAGTTCAGATCACCTGCATCATGAAACTTCCATAGCCTCTGCCTTTCCACAGAGGAGTCAACTTCTGGATAGGAACTGTAAGCATTGAGGCCAGTAGGCAGAGAAATTAGCTCTGGAACAATGAGAATGAACAAACTGAACCTCACAATGAAATATTAAGATGTGAGTACCAACTGTAATTCCTACATACAGAAAATCAGAATCATTTCAAGTTTAAATGGAAAGGTAATGGTTACCCTTGGGCATTTGAGACGAGAAGAGGACATAAGAAAACTGGCAATGTGTTAATATGGGAAAGTTCAATCAACTGTACACATGTATGTTCTTATATGTTCTGATCCAATTGCACCAAATGGGTGCAGTATGAGGGTTCTTCCAATGGCTGAAGAAGAGGCTAATCTGGCAGGGGGTGGGGGGTGGGGGATACTACTGTGGAATGGAACTTAGGGAAAACAGAGAGAGTGAAGAATACAGGAAGTCCAGGGGTATCCACATGGAAAGCAAAGGTGAACCTAGGTCCTCTGGGTAAACTGGGGCCCAGAGAATAGGCACAAGAAGAACAAAAACCAGTTTTACTCACTCGGCAGATGGACCTTCCTGTTGAGAAGTCCCCTGCACACAGCATCTCTTCATGCACATAGCCCTTGTCATTGCCAGATACTTGCCCATATAAGGTATTACAGAGTTTATTCTCAACCAGGTTCACTTTGGCCTCCTGGAGTGAGAAGGGTGGTAACAGTTTCACTGTGAAAATAAGCAGGAGGTCAGTGAAATGTCCCCATGGCTGAGCCCAAGGAAGCCCAGGCTACTCTGATCCCACACTCTGTGATATTCACTGCTACCTCTAAACATGAGTGTTTCCCAAAATAGCTGAACTTTATAATCTGCTTCTGTCTTCTAGCTCATCCTGAAAAGTTTCTCTCCTTTTCTCAAACCTTCCCACATTTCCTCAGGCTCACAGCAACAGGCTATACTTCTACTACTACTTCATGACCCACTCAATGGCATTCAGCAACCATTCCCTGACCCACCGTTAGATGGTCATTTCCACTTTCGTCCATCCATCCACCCATTTTCTCATACTCATCCTTCTATCCACTCACCCTTTTCATCAATATCCCCATATATCCCTCCTCCCTCTCCCTCTGCTATGATAACACATCTACTCACTCATGAGATCCATTCACCTACGCCTACGATCCATTCACCTACCCACACACCCTCATCCCTCCATCTAATACAGCCACCCACATCATCCATCTCTCCATATACCTCTCTCCTTCCTTCTTCACAGCCAATCTTCCCTTTTTTCTGGCCAACAATCCATCACCCACCTTTACATGCATCCATCCACCATTTTCCCTTCCATCTTCCTAAAGCCCCCTCCCATCTATTCATCTATTCAGACACCAAATCACTAGCTATTCATTTATCTTTGTGCTTTTAGACATTATCAATACAAGAGAACATATTTGATTGCAGAAACAGTAAATTTACTAAGGTAGTATGAAGGAAATAAAACACAAAGACATGGTAGTAGAGGTTGCCTATTTTAGCTTACATGACTAAGTAAAACTCCTCAGAAAAGGACATGAATTGTACATGTCAAGATGAAAGTAGCCATACAAAGACTGGAAAGAATAAGTGAGGCAGGGGTGGAAATGGCCTGGGTATCTTCAAGTGGCCTTAAGGTGGCTGGTGTAACTTGGATGGGATATGTGAGTAGGGATGCAGGAAATGAGGCAGATAGGAAGTAGGGTACACACATCGTGCAAGGCCTTATAGTCATGGTGGGAGTTTGAATTTTATGACAAGCCAAAGTGAGAAGAAATTAGAATATACCAAACAGAGAAGTTATGTTGTTTGTGTCTTAAAGTAATACTGTTGTATGTGCAGCATACTAGGCCCTGTGGCACAGGTTGCTATGTTGTTAAAACAAGACATGAAGGAAGCTATGTGATGTGTGCAGCTCATCTCAGGGTAATCAAGATTTTTCTCTCCCCCCTTCCCCCCGAGGCGCTGTCCCTCAGCTCTTTAGCTCAAGGCAAACAATCTACCACTTGAGCTACAATGCCACTTCGGGTTTTCTGGTGATTTATTGGAGATAAGAGTTTCATGCCCTTTCCTGCCCAGGCTGGCTTGGAACCCGATCCTCGGATCTCAGCCTCCTGTGAAGGTAGGATTACAGGCACGAGCCACGGGCGCCCATCTTGTTTTCCCTTTTTGCTCAATTAAACGGATATTTTTTAAAAAAAGACATGACCTCTACCATCAAGAGTGAAGCAGCTTGTGTGTTTGTTGGTATACATACTTAACATTAGCTGAAATACTGTTAGAAAGAGCTCATGACACTTAATGGATAAGGACTAGGAATGCTAGCAGATCCTGAGTCAATGAAGACATATTCTATCAATGTGTGTGTGTATATATATACACATGCATATATTATATATAATATCCCCTTTAAGAAACAATGTCCCAAACTATATTCCTACAAATAATTACAAATCCATCTTCTTTCTCCATTAACATTAAGTTATAAGTTTGTTCTCCAAGTCATAAACAATCCTTTCTTTAAAATAAGTATCCCTGGGTAGAAGTATGCCTAAATTTCTCTACTTTCCAAACTCTGAAAAACAAAACTCAAGGCCAGTGGCTCATGCCTGTAATCCTAGCTACTCAGAAGGCTGAGATCTGAGGACCATGGTTAGAAGCCAGGCCAGGTAAGAAAGTCCATGAGATTCTTTATTTCTAAGTAACTATCAAAAGTCGAGAAGTGAAGTTGTGGCTCAAGTGGCAGAGTGCCAGCCTTAATAAGAAAAAATGTGCTTGAGGGGGCTGGGAAGGTGGCTCAGTGGTAGAGCGCTTGCCTTGCATGCCTGAGGCCCTGGGTTTGATTCCTCAGCACCACATAAGCAAAAAAGAAAAAAGCTGGAAGTGGCGCTGTGGCTCAAGTGGTAGAGCTCTAGCCTTGAGCTGAAGAGCTGAGGGACAGCACCCAGGCCCAGAGTTCAGGCCCCACGACCGGACACCCCCCCCCCCCCAAAAAAAAAAAAAAAGAGAAAAAATGTGCTTGAGGACAGAACCCAGGCTTTGAGTTTCAAGCCCCAGAACTGGCATAGAAACAAAAGGTTTTCTCTATTATTTGGTTTTACCTGACAAGACAGAATATTCTTTCATAAACCTAAAAGGGCCTTAGAATAAATCATGCGAAGTGAGGTAAGTGAAGCTCAGAAAGACAAATAGCACATATTTTCTCATATGTGAAAGCTAGATCTAAAATACACCAGCACATGATGAATTATATAGGACTCTAGACATTCACAAACAGTAAGACCAAAAGAGGATACTCTTAGGAGAGGAACACAAAGGCACAATAGCTATGTGCATCTGATCATATAAAAATAATATTTATCAAAATGAACTGCAGGAAATGGAAAGAAGAGGGTCTTTTCCCCTCTGTTACTATTTTTGTTTTCTTTCTTTCTGTCTTGTTAGTTTACCTATCTTTGGGAGGGTAAAGGAGGAGGGCACAGAAATAGAGGGACAAAGGATGAACAAATACAGCAGTGGCACCCACTAGACACTACATTGAAAATGAAGTATACAATTTGTGGGTGGGGACAGGAGGGGAAAAGTATGAGAGTACAAAGGAAAGGGTTCCAAAAGAAATGTACTCATTACCAGGCTTCTGTAATTGTAACCCCTCGGTACATCACTTTTATAATCACAATTTTAAAAAGAACAAAGCTAGAAGGGCACAAGCCTGGCCCAGTCCTCATGTTCAGACATGGAAATGAAGCCATGGACGACTGTGGAAATCAGCCTGGACCTCTTCCTGGTTTAGCTACTTCTTCCTTCTTTCTCATATGCTTCTTCTCCTCCCGGTCTCTCCAGCCTCCTCTCCCTACCCCTCCCATCTCTCCCATGCTCCTTACTGTCCTCCGAAAGCCTGCCCCAGCCAGTTATCCAACAGGCCATGTGACTGGGCAGCTGTAAGTCTGTGGGTGGGAGGCAGACTGGAACAACATAAGATGTGAACTTCACAGACTGGTGTAGCTGCAGCATGGCAATGTCATTCCCGAAGGGATGAAGCTTCTCAAATTCTGGATGGATGATAATCCGGCTCACCGACATATTTTGGGTGTGCTGGGTTTGCTGATACAGTTGGGTGTTTCCCAGCAGAACCCGATAGTCCTCTGGAGTGTGAGATTTGCTGGAAGAGGCAGGACAGAGCCCATTATCAGGACAGAGTCCATTATCACCACAATCTGAGTGTGGGGCAGCCCTATGCTTCCCACAGCTCTTACCAGGCATCCAATTTTATAAAAGTGATCCAAAAATAATCACTCGAAGCAGGCATTCATGGCTCACACCTGTAATCCTAGCTACTAACCAGGTTGAGATCTAAGGATCATGGTTGGAAGACAGGCTGGGCAGGAAAGTCTGTGAGACTCTTATCTCCAATAAACTACTCAGAAAAAGCCCAAAGTGGTGCTGTGGCTCAAATAGTAGAGTACAAACCTTGAGAAAAAGAAGCTCAGGGACAGTGCCCAGGCCCTGAATTCAAGCACCAGAACTAGCAAAAAAAAATCACTTGACTAGTTAGATTGTGATTCACTGGAAAACAGAGGATGGTGAAGAGAAACCTAAGTCTGCAGGCAGCCAAGACAAATGCCAAGTGCTATCAATGGTCACAGAACACATCGGTGCTGTGGGTAACAAACACAGGGAACAGGAGCCTCCCTGATAGTGAAGGATGATGAGGATCTGGGTATATAAAGGACGTACCAGGTCCATAGGAGTAATTCAGGTAGAGGGACTGTGAGTGAAAGAAGGATCAACATGTGTTTAGTGACAGAAGACTGCCCAGGGCAAAGCTCAAGGGGAAAAGGCATATGATCCTCTATCCCTTTCTTTCTGTTCTACCTTTGCATCTTCTTCCCTTGCCAGCCCCTTTTTAAAGGTCCCAGGGAAGAGCTCACTTGAGAAAGCAGTGGGCTGCAGAAACCAGCCACTGGGCTTCAATGAGGACAGCGCCACAGAAGTGCTGGCTCCGGAAGAGCAGGCTGGCTTGCCACGGCCACTGACCAGTCACTGCATCCTGGCCTCCAAACACCTTTCCCATCACCCTGGGCTTCCCACACACTGTGAAGACATCCCATCTACTTGTTAGAGACAGACCATTCTGTGTCCCAGACTATCACCCTATCAAGGCTTTCTACACCATTTCACAGTTTGGTAGACCAAAGCCAAAGTACAAGTGGTCTGACCTATACGGCCCACTGCCAGGGGGACTGGGTGACCAAAAACATCAGCAAGCTATATGGGAATGAGAGCACAAGGGTCTGGGGACCAAGGGGCAAAGGTCAATGGGTAGCAGCCATAGTAGCCCATCCTAAGGTGGGCCCGCCAAGGGCAGGTGGGCTGGGAAGGAGGCCTTGTGATGATACTCTCTCATGTAACACACTTCTATGTCTACTTTTCAGATCAAAGAACTGATGGTCTCACAGGTCACTAATGTTACTTGCTCAAGAAGTGGCCTCTAAATGGAAACGGCCACTCCATTTCATCCCAATATCCAGGGAGAAAGCATGACAAACAGGACTCAGTGTAACTTGAGGCAATTGTCTCCTGCTACAGAATTCTCTTTCTCTGTCTCTTCCTCTTTCTCTTGTTCTTTTTCTTTCTTTTCCACTACCTCCCACCTTCCTTGTCTTTCCCCACCTAGAGTTTAAATTTAAGGCCTCAAGATACTTTGTTTCTAAAAGAAAGGGAGACAATTTGGGTTCTAAGACACATCTGGAAGGGGAGAAGTTGGCCCAGGCCTCGAGGAGTGCTTTGTTCCCAGGCCTACGCTTCTCAGTCCTTAGACCTGAAATTTCTAGGTTCAGAAGCAGCTTATGCTACTCCCTGTCCTCTCCTGATCCAACTACAGTCTGTTTCTCTGCCCTTCCATCCCACCCAAGGGCTGGGCAGATGTTGGACATTTACCCAACCCCATACCAGGCCCTGGAGTATATTCCCACCCAATGGGGGAACCTGGCCCACCTTGGTCAATGCCCACGCTGAGGCTGCCTGGCTCAGAGGTAAGGGCCGGGAAGATATGGGTGAGATTTGGCACTGGCCCCAGCCAGTTCCCCACCACCCTGCCCTGCCCACAAACCGACCTTGAGCCCAGCCCTCAGAGCCCTGGGGCCCACGGGCCAGGGACCCCCAGCCCTCTGGTGACCCTTGGTTTCTCTGCTGAGCCTGCAGAGCCTTCGAAGAGCCTGGGTCACTAGGCAGCATAGTGGGGGTGGTCTCTGGGGTCAGGGGCAGCAGCAAAAGCGGCAGAGGCCAGAGCAGAGGCCCACTGCGGGTCATCACAATTCCTGGGCCCATCCCAAACCCTGACCCTACCCGGACCTGGACCTGATCCTGCCCTGACCAGGGGCTGACCCTGCCTTGAACCCTGCCAAGACAGCCCTTGACCTCAAGTTGAAACTGGCCTTCCCTCCCTGGCCCCGCCCTTAATTCCCCCCACAACAGACTCCAACTGACTGAGCCCTGAGCACCCCCCGCCCCCCAGCCTTGGATCCCAACCTGACCCAATGCTTCCACAAATCCATGAGAAGGCCAGCAAACTGGGAAAGGATATGAAAAAGGTCATCACAGTAGGAGAGTGCCGAGTACTTAGGTTTAATCCCAAGCATGTACACAGGCACACAGACACACAGACACACAGAGCAAGAGGGATACTGTTCATCAGGAAAATGAAAATAGTATTACAAACATTTAATGAGACTGACAGACTCTCAGACTTGGGGTATTCAGTAAAATCACTATTGAATTTTGGGAAGCAAGGTCCTAAATACCAAAGGCACACCCCATTCTTTGTAATATCCTGAATTTAAGTGTGGGATCCTGCTGGGATTTGTTTGTGGGGTTTTTTATGTTTGCTTGTTTGTTTCAACCCACTAGTCTATAAACCTTGAAGTCTGGTGATCTTTTAAATACCATTCTTAAAGAAAAAAATCAAATGGAGCAGAATTTGTTTGGCACACTTAAAATCAAATTTTCTTGTAACTAATCAATTTAAAGGGAAATGAATGCCCTAACCAATGAAAAACTGTCAACCAACTCCTAATAACTTAGAGACTTTTCCTCTGAATTGTCTGAGTAAGGCAACAGTATAATTTGTCAGTTGTTCTGCTTTCTCGTTCACTTCATAAAAACTTTTCCTTTGAGTCCCCCAGTGAAACCAAACTACTAAACACTGTCAGATGCTACCCAGTTCTGTAAGTATGGCTCAAGTGATAGAACTACATCTCAACTTTGAGATGACTGCTACTTCAAAGACAGCTGTGTACTACAAATCTTTGAAGATGGCTTCTGGATTAGGCTCAATTACTTGGTTACTGGAAATCTTGTTTGTTTTTACCAGAGTTCCTGTGAGAAAGCAAGAATTTCAAGCTTCCTAGCTCACTATTTGGCTAACACTACTTTTCCTTTACCATCTGATGTAATTTTTAGAATGTTTGTCTACTTCGATAAAAAAATAATTTCTGTTGGTATTTGATAAAAGTTGCATTATGACTACATATATCTGGGAGGAACGACTATTTTACCATGTTTAGTCTTCTAGTCTATTATTCAGCATGCGTCTCTATTTATTTGCAACTTCTTTAATGGTTTTAGCCAAGTTTTGTAGGTTTCATGTATTGATTAGAAACAGAGCCAAACATAAGAGTAGTGAAAATAGATTCTATTAAATAATTATTAGCAGTAAAAGAGTTGTGTTCCATCTGGATTTGTGCAGTGGTACCAGGGTTTTTGAAATAGAAAATGAACAGGGAGAATGAGGCTGCCATGAGTCAGTTATCCAAAGGTATTGACCATCTGCCTGAAATGTTATTGGAGCATCACGGCTATATGCCCTTATGTATGTATGTTGACCCCGGGTAATTCTCTATGACCAATGAGTCCTCATAATTGTTGACTTCTGGATCTTCTTTACAGAGATGAATTCAGAAGCATCTGTACTGTGCAAGGTAGATATATCTTAACAACTGTGTGGTCCTGGCATATAGAATAGATGTCAGGATGGCTGGCCCTAATGGACAGAGGCTGTGGGAAAGAGAACTTTTATGAGTGTGATGTCTGCATGATGGGTAGAAGTTATGAGGCCGTTTGTGGTTTTTTGCCGGGAGATCCTCTGTTTTGCAAAACTCCTGAGAACCACCAGGCACTGCTGACTCCTCAGGCTCAGCTTTCTAGAAAGGACAGTCTCCATGTGGTTTGGCTATTGAAAGCCTATAGAACATGCATCTACTCCCTTGGGGAGTGGTATCATTCAGACCATCTATGACAGTAGTTCTGAACCAATGTTATCATCATGGAAAACTGAGGCTTAGTTGGGCCCTTGTGGCTCACTCCTATAATCTTAGCAATTCAGGAAGTTTGGAGCCAACCAGGCAGACAAATCTTGGAAACTCTTACTACCAAGTAACCATCAAAAAGCCAGAAGTGGAGGTATAGCTCAAGTGGTAGAGCACCAGCCTTGAGTGAAAAAAGCTAAGGAAGAACACAAGGTCCCGAATTCAAGCCCCAGTACTGATAGATGCATACATGTAAGAAAGAAGTATCTAATATAACTTTCTTTTTCATTTTTCCAGAGTCAAACACCTAATGTAACTGCAAAAGCTTCCCTTTTTCTACCAGTGAAGACAGCCAGTAATTCAAGAGAGGGAGTGTTGGAAGAAGAAAAGGTTGTCTTTGGCAATAAGGCAATACATCAGAGAATAAAAGGCCAGCCCCAGGTTCATCTGTTCATAGAATGCCATCTCTGTCTCAAGCAACCAGATGCTAGGGATGCTCAGTTGCTTGCAGAAATGACAAATTCTGGAACATGGGTCTTAAGAACATCTTATCTCAGTCCTGGGGTCACCAAAAACCCCACACCTGTAAGTCTAAGAAAATGCAACTGTACAGAAGTTTATTGGAAGATCTGCACATCGATTTTTTTTTTTTTTCCCAGTCCTGGGGCTTGAATTCAGGCCTGGGGACTGTCCCTGAGCTTTTCATTCCTTTGTTCTTTCCTTTCTTTCTCTTTTTCTTTCTCTTTCTCTCTCTTTCTTGTCAGTTGTGGGGCTTGAACTCTAGACCTGGGCACTGGCCCTGAGCTCTTCAGATCAAGGCTAGTGCTCTACCACTTAAGCCACAGCGCCACTTCCA